AAAAGGAGAAAAACTGGCATGGGAGGCTGCTGAAATAGGACAAGCAAGACTGAGAAAAAGGGAGTCAGGCTCTCCCACCACTCATGGCTAGTGCAACCATAGAGCTCCCTCAAGGCAGGGGCAGGCCCGCCCTGAGGTCTCTTACTCTTTCAGTGGTTCCAACTGTTTCCAGTGGAGACTGCCTCCTACCCCCGCACCATCACTCTCCTCCTCCATCTTCCCTACCCCTCTGTACACTCCTCTTCTCTTCCTCCTCGTCTTCTCTTTCTCAGTCTCTCTTTAACAATATGCCCAGCCTCCTCCCTCTAACTAAACCTGCTGTATGAGAGAAAAGGAAAAAGTTAAAAGAAAAAGAAGCTTTGGAGCCAGTAGACGGCATGGTGGTTAGGGTGCTGGATTCCACACTGCCAATCGTGATTTGAAACCCAGACCCAGAGGCTTGAAAATTACAACAAAGAGAAAGACAAACACATACATACATACATACTGAGGAAGAAGAAGAAGAAGAAGAAGAAGAAAGAAGCCTGAACTATGAGAAACTAGCCGAAGCTCAATCAGCAGAGGTCTGGGAGAGGCAGATATGACAGGCCAGAGCACAGTCCAGCCACTCTAGAACAGATGTTCCCTGAAGGAGGAGGCCCAGCAAAGTTTTGGTCATTTATGAGTCTAGTAATCCAGGGAACTAGAAAAATATGGAATAAAAAATAAGCTTTTGTCAGAAATCCCATCACCTTGGAGCCTGGAGGAGGAAGCTACAGCCCTCTCCACAACCCTGCCAGGCTGGGGTGGGAAATAGAGGTCTACTAACAGCAGCACAGGCCCAGCATCAGGTCTCCCTCATGACCACTGCCACCTTCAGCCTGGGCCAGACCTATCTGCAGTGTCTCTCCACAGGTCACAGCAACCTGTTTACAGACATCTAGAATTCCCAGGCACTTTCAGGACAAGGGATTCGAGATGGTTCCAAGTGGGCAACAAAGTGTTTTCTACGAGAAGCCATTCTGCTTGGTCTATTTATGCCGACAGGAACACTTGCCAAGGAAACAGGGCGTGTGGGCATGCGCCGGCCCTGCAAGCCCTCAGCTTGCTCCAAGAGGCAGCTGGCAAGTCACATGTCATAACAGTGGAAAGTACATATGCAACTATTCTTAGCTCTGGAATGTATACACTGTCTCCCTGCCCAGCGGCCCTTGCACAAAGCTCTAGAAAACTGTGAAAGTGCCTTCAGCATAAACAAATCCAGAACTCCCCCAGGACAAATCATTTGCCAACTGAAGGAAAGGCTTGAGGCTCACGGTTTTACTCAGAGCCAAAGGTGGACATTCTCCAGGGGGACAAGCGGACCAGGCGTCGGTGGGTGCCACTGCAGCAAAACAAGGTAAATGTCCCTAAGACTGAATTCTTCTGCAGGTGGACTGCCAGAGACCATCCGATAAGTCATGGCATAGTTTGGTTTCTGCTTTCTATTTATTCTGTCTTTAAAACAAGAGCCATAAGGCTCTGAGATGTTTTTTAATGTTATATATTGCAAAGATCCATTTCATCCCTTCCTTTCTGTCTAGCTACCAGAAGGCCACACCCCCTGAATGTCGTCCTTGGGGAATGACTAGAACCCAGAAAGAAAGGCCTAGCTAGATGAGTTTATTAAGTAAATAACTTGACAATCAAATGCATGGACTATTTTCTTGCTTCAGGTTAACATTTCAGCCCCTGTCCATCAAGTAACCTCCAACAACTTTGTTACTGTTTTGTTTTGTTTTTTGTTTTTTTCTCAGACTAGCTGCAGATGCTATTTGCCTGTTGCCTTTGAGGATAATCATAACCAAAAAGAGACAGGCCAGCTCTGAGGTCTGCGGCGTGGTGGCCCTCCTTTCCACGCTTCCCTACCTGATACCCTGGTGATCTCTACAAACGTCTTGGTGAATGGACACAAGTGTGCTGAGCCTTGCGGCCCCACCGCTAAGCCCTGCAGCACATGCTGCGAAGGGAGACCTGACTCTTCCCCCTCGAAGTGGGGCTGTCTGTTTCCTCGGGAGTATGGATGAGGGGCCGCCAGATGGGCTGCTCTTCAAAGACCATGATTTCTCCTCTGACTTGTTAAAGCAGCTCAATGTCTTAAGGCAAAGCAGGACCCTGACGGATGTGAGTATTTGCTCCGGCACCTGGGAGGTCCCCTGTCACCGAAACGTGCTGGCCTCCAGCAGCCCCTACTTCAGGGCCATGTTCTGCAGTCACTTCCGGGAGAACAGCCAGGCCAAAGTCCAACTGAAAGGCATCGACTCCCCAACGCTGGACCAGATCGTCCTGTATGTGTACACGGGGGAGGCACACATCACAGCTGAAAACGTCCTGCCCCTGATGGAGGCAGCCTCCCTGCTGCAGTACCCCAAGCTCTTCGAGGCCTGCTCCTCATACCTTCAGAGCCAGCTGACCCCCAACAACTGCCTGGGCATGATCAGACTCTCGGAAATCTTAAGTTGTGAGACCCTCAAGAAGAAAGCCAGGGAGGTGGCCCTGACGTATTTCCCAGAGGTGGCTGCATCAGCTGACCTGAAGGAGCTCTGTGCCTTGGAGTTGAGAAACTACCTTGGAGATGACGGGCTCTGTGGGGAGGAGGAAAAGGTGTTTGAAGCCCTCATGGTTTGGGTCAAGCATGACCTCCAGGCCCGGAAACGGTATATGCAAGAACTGTTCAAGCAGGTCAGGCTTCAGTACATTCACCCAGCCTTCTTCCACCACTTCATTGCCAACGACGCCCTCCTGCAATCCTTGCCCGCATGTCAGACCATCCTGGAGACGGCCAAGAGACAGATGTTTTCTCTGTACAGTCCCAGTGGCCCAGACTACAACCCCCTAGGGCACATCCCTCCAAGAAACTCTTACCAGGATGTCCTCATCCTCTTGGGTGGAAGGAAGGACAACCAGCAGACCACCAGGGATGTCCTGCTGTACAATGGACAGACTGGCCAATGGCAGAGCCTAGCCAAGCTCCCAACCCGGTTGTACAAGGCCTCGGCTGTCACCTTGCACCGCAGCATCTACGTGCTCGGGGGCATGACTGTCAGCGCAGGGAAGAGTCTGGTCAGTCCCGACGTCTACATCTTCTCCCTGAAACTCAATCAGTGGAGGCTGGGGGAGCCCATGCTGGTGGCCCGCTACTCCCACAGAAGTATTGCCCATAAGAACTTCATCTTCTCCATCGGGGGCATTGGAGAAGGGCAGGAGCTCATGGGTTCCATGGAGAGGTACGACAGCATCAGCAACGTCTGGGAGAGCATGGCCAGCATGCCAGTCGGGGTGCTCCACCCTGCTGTCGCTGTGAAAGACCAAAGACTCTACCTCTTTGGGGGAGAGGACATTATGCAAAACCCTGTGCGCTTAATCCAGGTAAATGACTGGTTCTTCCCATCATGGAAGTGCATGAGTGCATTCATATGCACACACATACAGAACACACATCCATACACATGCATGCATATACACTTGTGCACACTGGCACACATAGCTATACATGTGCACAAACATATATGCATATATGTATACATATACATGCGGTCATCATTTGCAGGGGAAAAAAAAAGAGAAAGAGAGGGAAGCAGAATAAGCTCAGCAAGATTTTGTCATTTATGAATTCTTTATGTGTAAAACTAATATATACAAAGGCATACCAAATACGATCCCTATTTACAAAGAATTTATCTTCACTTAAGAAAAATATTTTATTTATATACAAAATATGTTTATATATTTGTATTATATTCACATTTTTGTATATTTTTATTTATATATTTTTATATATCTATTTTATTATTTATTTATTTATATACATATTAATTCAAGCTAGAGGGCTAGCAGGTGGCATGATTAAGGCACTGGACCCCACATGGCCAACTGCGCAGTTCGTGTCCCAGACCAAGTGGCTTGAAAACACACCAGGCATGTGTTCTGTGTGTGGATGCCCAAAATCCCAAAAGGAAAATGTAAGAGAAGGGATTATGGTATGGCCATCCCCCCCCACCCCACCCTGCCCCAGGGGTGATTTCTCGCTTTCCCTCTCTTTCTGTCTCTCTCCAGAGAGTGCATGTGCCCTATGGCCAAAAAAATACCGATTTAAGCAGAGAGGCGGGAGATAAGAGGTGGCTGGTGAGGATTAAGACTGGAAGAGGAAGAAGGAGAAAGGTGGGGTGGGTGCTGAGGGAGTGTGGAAAAGAAGGGTTTGACATGAGTAAAGATGGGGGATATTCTCTGCCATTGGAAGTACGAGTCATATACTGTGGAGGATTTACCATGATTATCTACGTTACTTCTGGGTACAAAGGCCCTGGGCCACAACCGGAGAAAGCCCACTGCCTTGAGGAACTGAAAGCAGCCCATGTAGGTGCAACGCAGAGCACGGAGGAGGAAGGTAGGGCGCCAGGTGCAGCTGGAGGGCGGAGGGACTGGTATCAGTGCCGGCATGATCCCTGTCAGCCTCCTGCACCCAGACTGCTGCCCCTGCGCAGTAACCAGACAGACGCCATTCAAGGCTTTCTAGCAGACCTTTAATGGTGGGTGAGGAGACCAATATACATTTTTAGAAGTTCCCTCCTGACTGCTTGCAGAGAAGGGATTGGAGGGGATCTGAGTAGACAAAGAGGGAGGAGACTGGAGGCTCTTCTAGAACTCCAGTCAGGGAATGTTGATGGCTTAGACTTGGTTGGTGCCAGTGGTGATTTTTTTTTTCTTGCCTTCACATCTCCAAGTTTTCAGTCCCTTCCTGATCATCTGGGCAGTCTTTTGTCTTTTCAAAATGACTGTTCCAAATCCCACTCATTTCCTTGAGCTGGAAAAGATACGTTCTGCTCCCCTCCAAGTTCTGATCGCACAGTACAGATACAACACCGTGCTTCTGAGTAAAGGGCCTCTCAGCTACGTTTCAAAATAGAGCTGACAAATATGCTGATGGTTTCACACAGCAAAATTGTCACCGACTTCCCAAGAATAAAATGCAGTTTCAACAAAGCCTTAAGCCTGCATGTCAAGAAATGTATAGTACAATCAAACCAGATCCTTATAAAGCCAAAACACACTAAACCTGTGTGATCCTATCGCACAAGCAATGGGGAGAGGGAAAAGGGTAAATGTATTCATTTGGATGCTTTCCTTATCTCCTTAGCAATTTTTGTAAATGAAAATTTTACTCATTCAAATATAGTTTAAAATGAATGCTTGGAGGTACTTGATGGAGTAGGCTGGATTTTCAGGCATAGTTTTGGAGTTTTCTTCATAGGATAGTTCATGTACATGCATGCATTTTTTTTTCTTTTTTGAAAGATTTTTGCTATAGGGCATGTACACTTGCCAGAGAAACATAAAGCAAGAAATTACCCCCTAGGAGGGATGGCCATGCCACAAACCCTTCTTCTCCACTCACCCTCAGGATTTTAGGCACACACACACACACACACACACACACACACACACACCTGGTGTGTTTTAAGCCACTGGTTCAGCACTCAAGCCACGGTCGCATACGTGGGAGTCAACAAAGTAATCATTACGCCATCTGCTGGTCCTGCATGCATTCTTTTAAGAACTATACTGCAGAGGCTGGCAGGTAGTGTGGTGGTTAGGGACCACCATGGCTGACCATGGTTGGAGTCCTAGACCTGGCAGCTTGCTTGCTTTCTCTCTCTCTCTCTCTCTCATCTAATAATAATAAATTAAATTAAATTAAATTAAATAATTCTCGGAAAAAAGCTATACTATAATGAGTATGCGATGCAAATTGTGTGTATGCATGTCCTCCTCTTTCTGGTCTCCTTTGTACCTCTATCTCTGCATGGACTTAAACAAGTCCTTTACTGAAACAAAGTATCACTTCTCCACTGATCAGAGACCCTCCTTTGTTATCTTTACTCCAGGCTCTCTGGAGTAGTAGGAGGATCAAGAGCAAATGTTTCATCTATTTTTGAAACCATACCTAACACTGATGGAGAACAGACAGAGGAGCCAATTACTCAACCTAGCCAAATGAAACCAGTGTTTGCTTTTCCTATAATGATCTTGCTTTCCAAAGAGTTTTCTTACTACATACTTTCAGATGAAACTGTTAGGCTTTATGGCCATTGAGATCCACCCCTTTCTCTAGCACTTGGCCTATTCCAGGCTTCACCAACTTGAAGGTCTGACAGAGACTTTCAGAGGTCTCCAGTCTCAAAAGCCTCCATCAGGAAAGACCACCCTTTATGGCCCCAGGGTGTGTGCATGTGTCTGTCTGTCTCACTCATGGATGGATGGAAGGAAGGAAGATAGGAAGATTTTTTTTTAAAAAAAAAGAAATTTGAGATCCAGCCTATAGCCTGGTGATTAAGGCAGCTGGATCCCACACAGCTGACCTTGTGGTTTGAGTCCCAAACCTGGAAACTTGAGAAGCACACTGGGCCCATGTGCATGAGTACCCAAAATCCCAAAAAGAGAGAGGAATGGATGAGAAAGGTTTGCGGCATGACCACGTCCCATGGGGAGTAGGTACTTTCTCACATTTTTTCTCTTTTAATCCCCTTCTTCCCCCAGTGAGCACATGCCTCCTCTGGAAAAACTATTAAGGAAGGAAGGAAATTAATTAATTTAAACATGAGGGGCCAGGTAGTGGTACCACCATCAAACCCAGGGGGAGGTCTCCAGTTTGCATCTTGGGGCTCCCTGAACATGCTAGGCACATGTGCTGGTTGAGCCTTGGGTGAAGATCACTCCCCACCATCTCTGCCTCTGTCTCTGTCACTGAAGAAATACAACTTTTCTTTAAAAAACAAAAAGAAGGGAAGGAAAGAAACCCAAACATAAGCTAGAAATCCAAATGATTAAAAAATCTTTAGTTTTATGACTACCTGGTTGCTCCCATGTCTCATTAAGAAAAAAGTTCCAAGCAAGGTAAGTCCTGCATACCACAATACCGAACTCAGGGTCTAGCCTGTGAAAAGACAGCCGCTGAGCTCACAGGGTCACTTAAAGGTCAGTTTCTATAGGGCTGTCAGAAAAATCTTGACATGTATTTTCTATGCAAATATGCATCATGACTTTGCCAACAACCCAGTAATAGTCCTGTTATTTAATAATACTTCATTTATTAATAGCAATATAGATACATTTTAAAAGCTAGAAAAAGGGGGAGAAAAAAACTTATTTCTAGTTCACTTTGCTTAATTACTACTTCTGTCTTTTAAAAACAACAACAACAAAACATTAAGAAATGTGATATTATCTGTTGAAGATATTTTGTAGTTTTATCAACTGTACTAGGGAGACATGTTCGCCTGTTGAAATATCCATTTTGTAAGCCAAATAATGATGTGACTGAATGTATAAAAGAAAATGAAATGAAATAATAATAAATATAATTTTAAAAAAAACTTTAAAATGTGGTGCCATGGGGCCAGTAAGTAGCATGGGTTATTAAGGCACTGGACTCCCACATGACCAACCATGGTTCAAGTCCTGGACATGGTGGCTCGCTCGCTCTCTCTCTCTCTTCTTTATGGTAAACACATATGCCCTATAGCAAATTTTAAAAATAATAATAAGTCAGATTGTTTTAAATGGGGTTCTCTGATTCTGTTTCTCCCTCAGGTTTATCACATCTCCAGAAACACATGGTTCAAAATGGAGACAAGAATGATCAAGAACGTGTGTGCTCCTGCCGTGGTGCTCGGGGAGCGGATAGTCATTGTGGGAGGTGAGTCGGAACAGAGGACCTGGGCTGGACACAAACTTGGCACCTCTCATGGAAAAAGAGTCACTAATAGATGGCAGCCTCTTTAAAAACAGCCATCCAACCAGAGGAGTGTAAACAACCAGACAAAGCTCTTTCCTCATCCAGAAGTTCCCATCTTTCTCTGTAAACAAGGGGTGAAATAGCACCTGTGTCACAGAGTAGCTGTGGTACTACAGCGTGCTCATGGACTAACGCACTTAGCACTATCCCAGACGCACAGTAAAGAGGGGTTGTTATCGTTGATAACGTTAGCTACTACCGGGTCATTCCTCTGTAATCCCAGTACAGTGTCATGGTTATAAACACTGGTTTGAGGTTCAGAAAGATCTGGATTCAAATCCATACTCTGCTGCTAACTGGCTTTATACTCTGTGGCAAGTTATTCATCTTTTATGTCTCAATTTGCCTGTCAGTAAAATGGGGATCACTGGAAAAGGCTGTTGTGGGGACTCATTCTGGGGCTTCCAAAGACTTCTCCTTAAGATTGTCACTGCTCTTGGGTGGACACACAGGAGATTAAAATGGAAGGGAGGCCAAGGAAGCTACTGGAGTCAGGAGAGCGCTCCAAAGACCCAGATGCTGCCTTAACTTGGGGGATTAAAGACACAAGGCCCAGAGGTGACACATCTCAGTGGCGAGCCCAGCTCTGCCACATACCATGTATCAGCAGGTTATTCCAGCAGCCTACACATTAGTCCATTGTCCCAGCCTCTGTGTCGGGCAATGGCAGGGGCCAGAGGCAAGACAGGAAGCAACCTCCAGTTCCAGAAGCACAACACTGAGCTTGCCCACATGTCATTTGGTTTGAAGGTTATACAAGGAGGATCCTTGCTTATGACCCTCGGTCCAACAAGTTTGTCAAATGTGCGGACATGAAGGACCGAAGGATGCACCATGGGGCCACGGTGATGGGGAGCAAGCTGTATGTGACCGGCGGGCGGCGGCTGACCTCGGACTGCAACATCGAGGACTCGGCCTCCTTTGACTGCTACGACCCTGAGACAGACACCTGGACATCCCAGGGACAGCTGCCCCACAAGCTCTTCGACCATGCCTGTCTCACTCTCCAGTGCCTACCCACACGTCCACCATCCTGTGACGCTGAGGAGAAGTATCCACCTTAGTCAAAATGCTTTCTGTTACAGACAGAAACCCCACTCCAATAGCTTACCCCTCAAAGGATGCAGGGAGAGCTCACAGGCTGAAGGTATCAGGGCCTGGTGGCCTGGATCAGCCTTATTGTTGCCAGAACACATGCGCGCACACACACTCACTTTCTGTCTCCCTCTCGCTCTGTCTCTGTCTCCCTCCTCTCTCTCTTCTACTTCCATCTCTCTACTCTTTCTGCTTCTGTCTGTCCCCCCACCCCATCTTTCTATCTCTCTCTTCTCTCTCTCCCCATCTCTTTTTGTTTCTCTTTCTTCTCTCTACGTTTAATGTTTGTCTCTCTTCTCTCTGCCCCACTCCCATCTCTCTCCTCTCTCTGCTTCTCTCTCTCCTCCTCCACAGCTCTCTGTCTCTATTCTTCCCCCCACTCTCATACCTCTCTTTCTCTCCTTTCTGTTTCTGTCTTTCTTCTACCTCTGAGTGTCTCTCACTCTCCCCCACCCTTTCTTACCACTCTACCTCATCTTCATTAGGCTTCCTTCTAAAGACAAGCTTCTTTAGCCGCACAGTCTAAGGACAACTGGTAAACCCAGACTCACATTCTCAGCTGTGTATCTTCATTATTACCATCTGAATGTCTCTTCACCATTACTGTATATAAATCCTGCAAAATGCTGCTCTTGGGCTCTTTCTAATTACACATCTTGTTCTTCAGCCATCACTGCTGCCAGGGCTCATACTATTATTACTCCAGTCCTGGGTCTCATCCCTACGGGCAGAGGTGGGGTTAACTATGTGACTGACAGCCTGTCTGACTGAACAGCAGGTAACGGGATAGACTTTATTTCCCCAAAGGAAGAAATTCTTAGCTGACAAAAACTACAGCTGGTCAGGACACCACTGGAATCAGAACAAGAGGGCTGAGAGGCCCAGGAGGAACCCAGGAAGCGCTTGGTCCAGGGGACAGTGTGAGGCCCAACTGTGACTGTTTCTCTGTGTCTATCGGTGTAAGACGTTGAAATTCCAGAGAAGTCTGTGCAATACGGCAGCTAGCATTTGTAAGGTACCCTGCTCTGCCAGAATAAAGCTCCTTGGTTTCTAGTGCCAAATTGTGTTTTTCTCCAGCCTCTGGGGAGCTATAAATTACAGGGTTAATCAGGATTTTCATTTTGGTAAATGTTATAAAATTTGTTCTTCTGGAGAAAACCAACCAATTTCTTCAGAGATTTCAGCAACCGCTGCCCTCCAGATGCCAGGTCTGACTGCCCCTATAGCCCCCTTGATCTCAAAGCGCCTCCCTCCCCAGCTCAGCCCCAGGCTCAGGAATAAGCTGAAGTACAGAGCAGGGCTCTGAGCACTGCCTGCCTGTGGCAGTCATGTGAGGAGGTGTTTGGAACAGGGCCATGTCCATTCAACACAGGTGGGGGGTCTTCAAGGCAAGGACCCAGAACTCTGTATTTTGGCAGTTTTCTTTTTGTTTTGCAATAGGACGTGTGCACTCACTGAAGAGAGACACAGAGACAGTGAGAGGGAAAGTGAGAAATCAACCCCCCCTCAGGGGGGATGGCCATACCACAGTCCCTTCTCCATTCCTAGGATTTGGGGCACACATCCACATGTACCCAGTGTGATTTTTCAAGCTGCCAGTTCTGAGACTGGAACCATCGTCTCCCATGTGGGAATCCAGTGCCTTAACCACCACGCTACTTGCTGACCCAGAACTCCATTTTTGAAAAGCTTCCCAAATGGTTGCAAGGTGCGGAGAGTCTTGAGCACCACTGCTGTGTTCAGCGGTGGGCATGGAGATCTTTGTGGTGGGCTCCATTCCACCCTGTCCTGGCCAGCCCTGTCCGAGGGTGTAGACAAAGTCCTCTTCCCACCCATGGAAGCATCTGGAAGGGGCTTTGCTGCCCTGAACCTGGCACAGAGTGATCGCCAAGCTGTAGTCTCCCTCCCCATCCAGCTCTCCAGGTCCACATTCCAGACTTGCCCTTTCTCCCCAGTTTGTATTTTTTATACTTCAGGGCCTCTTGCTCAGGTCTGAAGTTCTGTACTCCTCCCCAGACCACTCAGCTGAGGCCTAGAGACCCTGGTGGAGAGCTAGCCCCTGCGCCTCAGCCTGCATCTGTCTGGCAGCTGTTGGCTGGCACCTTACTCCGGCCTCTTCTCTTCAAACCCTCTCTATCCAGGCTCTCAATCCCACTCCTCCCTGGAATTGTACTTGGAAAAGTCACCCATAAACATTCCAGTACCCAAACCAGTGGTCCACGTTCACTTTACATCCCACCCAACCAGCAGCATGTGACACCACTGGCCCTCCTTCCCTCCCAAAATACCTCCCGCCCACCTCTGTGGAACCACTCACTCTCGCTTCTCCCTGCAGTTCATTCTCATCTCGTTTTCCTGACTCAATGGTGATGACTCAGGGCTCAGTCCATAGACCCCTCTTATATCTATGCTCACTCCCAGATGTGTGAGCTCACCCAGTCCACAAACATGAAGACCACCAAACACTGCTGATTTCCCAGTTTTATCCAATTTCAGACTCAATGACCTGCTCTGCATCACCATTTTGATGGCAAATAGATAGCTCAAAGCCAGCATGTAAGATCACACCTACCACCAACGTGCTGCCCTCAGGCTTCCCCACCCTGGGAGGGAATGTTCATTTCCTCTGCTTCCTCAGGCCTACAGCCTGGGACTACTCGGGATTCCTCTCTTGCTCTCAAAATCAACTCCCTTTGTTCCAAATATTTCCGGAGCCCAACTATGGTCGGCCATTCACAGCACCAACTCAAGCCCGAGCTGCCATTTTCTCATCTAAGCTGATGCAATAGTTTTGTTATTGGTCTCTCTGCTTTCACCTCGATGCCCGAATCTCTTCTCAACACAGCAGCCTGTGTGATACTTTAAAAACATAAACCTAAGCCCGCATAGGTCATCTGTCTGTTTCCAGTTTATTTATTTATTTATTTATTTTACATTTTATCATGTCTTTACAGTATACATTTCTTTTTCCAATTAAAAAACCATACATGTCAGTCAAGACAAGGATATTACTATATACATTATCATCAGCAAACAGCTTCTCAGTTAATTAAGCATACTTTTACCTGTTTTTTTCTTCCTCTTTCCCCTCCCTCCCTTCCATACTAAACTTTTTTTTTTCACATTTTATTGATTCACAAAAGATCTTAAAGAACGGACAAATCTAGAATCTAGTGACAAGTGCACTGTAATTTTCTTCTGAAACATTTTTTTCCTCTTTCTCCATTCCCCCTTTTACTAAAGAGAGGTATAAACTAACTTATTTGAAAAAAAAAAAAAAAAATAGGTTAATCTCAATTTGGTCTATTATTTGCACAAAGCCCTATAAGAATTCAATTTCTGATGCAAGGCAACAGATACTATTTTATTATTGAACTTATGCAAATAACCATTCTGCCACAAAATAAGAATGCTCACAAGGATTTTCCAATTGCAAAGGGGTCAAGGAATGGGGAAAAGTTTATGTTTCAATTTAAAAAATTCTTTAACAAATTGCTGAAACCAACACTCAAAACAACAAAATCCTTAAATCTGGAAGACAAAGCATGGAAGAAAATCAGTAATGTTTTAGAAAAAAGTCATAGAATTCTATTTCACCAGTTCAGTCTCATGTAATCTCTCTTTTGTTGAATTCGTGGGGTTACTGTGGTCTGACGTTTCCATTAACATTCAACATTATTACTGATATTTCAGAACTTGTCTCTACCGTTAAGTTGGCCTTTCTTTTGTTGTTGTTCTCTTACTTGTCTGTCTTCAGTTTTCCTGGTATAGTACTCCCTTCAGAACTTCTCAAAATGCTGGTCTGGTGTTGGTAAATTCTTTCAGGTTTTGTTTATCTGAGAATGTTTTTATCTTTTCTTCCCACATGAAGGATAATCTTGCCGGATACAGTATTTTTGGTTGAAATTGTTTATCACTTAACACTTTGAATATATTTTTCCCATTCTTTCCTTGCTTGCATTGTTTTCAAGGAGAGGTTGATGTTAGCCTGATAGGGCACCCTTTGAAAGTAACTTGATGTTTTCTCTTGCCAATATTAGTATTATATCTCTGTTCGTGGTTTTGATCAATCTGGCTATGATGTGCCTTGGAGAAGATCTTCTTGGATTGATTCTATGTGGAGTCCTTTGTATTTCTTGGGTCTGGATATTTGAATGCCTCTCTAGGTTTGGAAGGTTTTCTCCAGGATTTCATGTAATAGATTTTCAATGCCCTGAGTAGCTTCTTCACCTTCTGACATACCAATTATCCAGATGTTTGGGCATCTAATGGTATCTAGTATTACTCATTTTGGGGGGATTATTCTCACTTTGTGGGGATTATTTTCTCAGTCTTTTGGTGAATTTTTCTAGGTCAGAGGTTCTGTTTTCTACATCTGAGATTCGATCTTCTGCATGATCTAATCTGCTTTTAATACTTTCAAGGGAGGTTTTTATTTCCTGAATTATAACCTTCAAGTCTAACAACTTCATTTGATTCTTTTTTATGGTATGTATTTCCTCTTTCAGATCATGGAAAAACTTCCTTACCTCTTGGAACTCATTATCTCTTTTCTCCTGTATCTTCTGGAGTTCATTATCTCTCTTCTCTTGCATCTCTGTTAGCTTTGTCACTATGAATATCCTAAAACCTTTATCTGACGTTTTCAAGAGTTCTATTGTACTGTCTATGGATGATGAAAGGCTGTTCTTTCCCTTTGGGGGAGAGATATTTTCTTTTTTTCTTTTTTTTTTTTTTTTTTTGAGAGATTTTCACCATAGGGCGCGGGCGCTCGCCAGACAGAGAGAGAGACACATAGAATTTTTTTGACAGTGAGAAATCACCCCCCAGGGGGGATGGTCACGCCGCAATCCCTTCTCCTCCATTCTCCTCTCGGGATCTTGGGCACGCACACACACGCACCCGGCGTGAGTTTTAAGCCACCGGGTCCGGGACACGAACCACGGTCGACTATGGGGGAGAGATATTTTCTTGATTTACCATATTTTTTGTGCCTCTGCAGTGGTGGTTTCTGGTCATCTGATGGTTTATACATTACTTCCTACATTCCTGGAGTTAATTTTGAGTGTTAGAGGCGTGCAGAAGGAGATAGCCCGCAATTTTTCTTTGCTACCGTTTCCCTGATCCTCACCAAGCAACCTGCACTTCTGCCAATGAAACCG